CGCTGATCCCGGTGCTGGGAGGCATATTACCCTTTTACTATATAGAATAGAGGCCTGGTGCATGGGTAGGGGCCGGCTGGTTTGCCCTGAAGGGTGTCCTGGATCAGGGTGGGGGTCCCCACTGGGGTGCCTGGCCAGGCTGGCTGAGGGACTGAGGGCTGTTTTCCCGCTGGCAGTTGACTAAAAACTCCCAACCGCTCCTTGTTTTCTTTTTTTTCTTTTATTCTGGGCCAGCTTTAGCTCTGAGGCCTCGCTGCTGAAAACATGGATACAATGTTGCGGTCCGGGGCTGACTGACAGCCGGTTTTGTTTAGCTTTTTATTTGCAACATAGTAATAAATAGTTGCTTAGAGTTGCAGTTGAGAGTCCAGCAAGTGAGGCGGGGAACGTTGGAGTCTGCAGTCCCTGGAGGAAGCAAGCCTCCCTGCTCGCTTCAGTGCATGGCTGCCGGCCGCCATCTTGGCTGACAGTTAATTTGCATATCGCCCTGATTAGCCAATGGGAAGGGTAGCGGTCGTACGCCAATTACCATGTTTCTCTTTTATTATGTAGATTGTTGACAGTATTACAGATGTCCCCTATTTCTCTCTCTCTTGCCCCTTTCCATCCAACCCCCACCCCACACCAGCCCTTTACCACATTATTGTCTATGTCCATGGGTTATGTATATATGTTTTTTGGTTAATCTCTTCCCACCTGCAAAACTGAAACTCTTATACCCATTAAATACTTCCTCATTTTCCCCTCCCCCTGGCTCCTGGTAACTACCATTCTACTTTCTCTTTCTATGAATTTGACTACTATAGATACCTCATAAAAGTGGAATCATGTAGTATTGGTCTTCTTGTGATTAGCTTATTTCACTTAGCAGAATGTCCTTGAGGTGGTTCACTCATGTACCATGACAGGATTTTCTTCCTTTTTAAGGCTAAATAATACTCCGTTTTAGATATATACTACATTTTATCTATTCATCTGTCAATATATTGTCTTTTATAAACTTTTAAAAAGTACTTTGCTTCACCCTTTACATATGATCATAAACATCATGTGTGTGTGTGGCAACAGGGAGAATGGTTGTGGTATTATTAAATTGTATCTCTCTAAACTTTATAGCAAAGAGAAGGATCCCTTTTGTCTAGTGAATGATCCTCAACTTTATGTTTTGGATTTTTGTATTTAAGATTTTTTTCTTTAAGTGAAACACATCTTTTATTAGGAATGCAACAACAAAAGGGAAGGTTGTGTTTGAAATTAAAGATATCTGTGTACGTCAGGATACACCTCCATTTGTCTTACTTCATCCACTCCTTTGTGTTACTAGCATCTCTGTGCTTCTTGTTCCGTGCACTAGAAATTTTGGGGCCCCCTTTTTATAACATGTTTTCTGTGTGTTGATTTTGTCTTTTCAAATGGAATAAATTATTTTTAAAAAATATATTTTTACGAGAGGCCCAGTGCACGAATTCGTGCATAGGTGGGGGCCTGTCGGGAGGAGGAGATAGCAGGAGGTTGGCTGACCGGCCCCTCCCCGATTGGAGCCCAATCAGGACTGGGCCGGCTGGGGGGAGGGGCTGAGGGCAATTGGCCAGTGGGCCCCGCCCCTGATAGGGGTGGTGAGGGCAGATTGGGTGTCAGCAGCTGGGGGAGGGGTCGTGTCAGGTTGGCCAGCCAGCCCCACCCCTGATTGGTGTGGGGGGGGCAATAGAGGACAGAGATGGCTGGGGGGAGGGGCCATGGGCCGATTGGGGTGGTGGGGGCCGATCGGGGGCCAGCTGCCTGGAGGAGGGACCATGGGTGGTTGGCTGGCCAGCCCTGCCCCTGATTGGAAGCGGGGGTGGTGTTACTGGTTGTGGGGAGCAGCTGCAGGCCAATTGGGGTGGTGGGGCCCATTGGGTCAGGGTTGGCCAGGGGGTTGGCCGGCCGCCCTGCCCTCCATCAGGGCGGGAGAGGCCGATCAGGGCAGGGCCAGGGCCAGCTGCAGGGAGGGGCTGCGGGAGGTTGGCCGGCCGGCCCCATCCCCTGATCAGGCCGGTTCGCTGGCCGCAGTGGGCGTCATATCAACCGGTCGTTCCGGTCATTACAGCATTCCGGTCATTGGCTTTTTATATATATAAATTGATTTTAGAGAGGGAGGGAGAGGAAGAGAGAGATAAAAACATCAATGATGATAGAGAATCATTAACCAGCTGTCTCCTGCATGACCCCCATTGGGGATCGAGCCCGCAACCCAGACATGTACCCTTGACCAGAATCGAACCTGGGACCCTTTAGTTCACAGGCCAATGCTCTATCCACTGAGCCAAACCAGCCAGGGCTGGAATAAATTCTTTAAAGCAGGAGACATATCTTATGTTATATCCTCTAGTCAGGAGCATAATAGAAGTTACTCAGAAACTACATATTCAAGGAAGATTGACTTATCTTGTACTCTTCACTAGTAAAAAATGTTTACATTTGCAGACAAAGTGTGTTGGAGAGAGAGAGAGAGAGAGAGAGAGAGAGAGAGAGAGAGATATGTTTCCTGGTGAAAGCCCAGGAAAGAGAGCAGAAGCTGGCATGGGGTCTTTAAGGCTGTGGACTGATAAGGCTGTGGTCCTGAGACTTCTGTGTTGTGGTCCTCAGGAGAATCTCAGATTTCTGCCCTCTTCCTAATCTCCAGCCTGGATTTTCAACTGTCAGCAGGGCAGCTGGATCTGCATGTGCCTTATGCTTCTTAAATGTAGTAGCACATAGTAGGAATGTTTGATAAAAGTGATTTTTCATTGAGCTGATAGTATATGAAAGCATTTAACACAGGTCCTGACATATAGTAGGTACCCAGGAGGTGACAGAAGAGAGTATGTGAGAAATATTTTCAAAGTTAAATCTTTCTCTAGGACCCCTACCTCTATTCCTGTGTCTCCACTCGTACCCTCTTGCTAAAGAGATAGGGGATAGCAACATGGATTCCACCTTTGGGAAGCTTCCAGTTCCTTGTTTGTGGCTTTATGCTCGGGCGAGAAATATAATCTCCCCTAAAACCTCACCCTAGACTGAAAATGTTCCAAACAAACTAGCCTGTCTTGTCACCTTAGGCAACTTTTAAAAAATATATATATTTTTATTATTTCAGAGAGGGAGATAGGGGCTGCCTCTTGCACACCCCACACGAGAATGAGTCCACCACCAGGGCATGTTCCCTGACCGGGAATCAAACCATGACCTCCTGGTTCATAGGTTGATGCTCAATCACTGAGCCATTCCGGTTGGTCCCAGTACCTGTCTATATAGACAGCATTCTTAGTAGGGACCTAGCCTTGAGAATCTTAGTGGAGAAGTGTATGAAACTCTAGGGTAGTTGTGGCAAGGTGGTGGGTTTATGGGGTTGGGCATGAGTTTAACTTAGCCAGGATAGCTTGTTAGGTGCAAGTATGGAGAAAGGGATACGGTAGAGAGAGAAAAGGGCTCAGCTCTGTGTCATTTTCTACTCATAGGGAGATACAGGCACTTGTGCCAAGCACAGAGCTCTGGCCTGCTGTGTCTGTCACCTCCTGTGAATGTCACCTCCTGGCTGCTCTGCAAGGCATTTGAGGTTAAGTAGATGAAATAGGGACTCTGAATCAGATAGCCTTGTTTTAAGTGTTACCGGTTTGCCAGTTGGAAGTGTGCCTCTCAGGATCTGTTTCCCTTGTGCCGAAATTTGTGGAATCCCATCCAGATCTTGGAGGGTTTCTCTCCATCCTTCTTATGCCACCTCAGCTTACCTTGATCTTAAGCTTTTATCCCTTTCATCCTATCACTGGTCTGGCATCTGGGAAGAGTAGGGAAAAGGATGAGGAAAGATAGGAAGAGTTGAATAACTGGTAGGGCGTATGTGGATTTGCTATCCTTACATGCTTTCTGGAACAAAGTGTAGGTGGGAGGAGGATGAGTGAGTGGGTGGGAGAACAAACAAATGTCACCTGTACCACTTGTTTGTCCCTCAGCCTGGACCCTTGCTTGGTATTCTCAATCTCCGGTGTTGTTCCTCTCTCCCATTTAAAGTATCAGCATATATACCCCTGTAATTTCATACCAATGGAATCATACCTTAGTGCTGTTTTTTTCTTTAATACTGTTTTGTAATCCTTTTTTGTTTTTTTTACCTCCCCCCCATTTTATTGAAATATAATTGATATATAACATTGTGTAAGTTCAAGGTATACAATGCGATGATTTTATATACATACTAGTATATATTGTTAAACGATTACCACATTCATCACCACACATAGTTACCTATTTTTTATGTGTGGTGAGGACCTTTTTTCATTTGATTGTACGTTATGGACATCTTTTCATGTTAACCAGTACTAGTATAGAGTAAGTGGTTGAATTATATTTCAATGTGCCGCTATACCATAATATATTTTGTTCTCTAATATTTAATCTATTTATCTCACATATTACCAATGGGGCCTTTCCTGACCATACCCTTTCTTAAAATTGTAACAAACCTCCTTCCTTTCCTATCTCCTTTATTTTTTTCTATAGTATTTAGTACCACTTGATATACATTTAAAAATATTTGTTTATTGTCTAACATGCTCCAACCATTAGAATGTAAGCTTCATGAAGACAGGGATTCCCTCCCTCCCCCTTTTTTTCTACTACTGTATACCCAGTGCTTAGAATCGTTCCTGGTCACTATTGGTGCTCAATAAATATTTGTTGAATGAATGAATTTGTTGGACTTTTTGTGTAACTATTAAGTTTTAATTTGCAATATTTTTGTTATTATGTACATTCTGTGATAAATACCCTGGTATATACATTTAGCACACTTATCTATCTCCTTAGGATAAATTCCAAGAAATGGAATGTCTGAGTTAAAGGATTATGCACATTTAAATTGTCAATTCATGGAGCCAAACTACCCTTAAGAATGTTAACTTCTATCAACAGTGCATGAGATTGCCAATTTCTCCACATTATGAGTAACACTGGGTTGTGTGTTTTTCGTATTCCCCATCTCATAGGTGAGACATGGTCTTGTCACTGTAACATAATAGTTGAGAATGTGACTCTGGAGTCAGCCTTCTGGGGCGTGAATTCTGACTCAGCCACTTACTGTGTGTCCTTGGGTAAGTCATTTAACTTCTCTTCCCTCAGTTTTGTCTTGGGTAAAGTGGGTATAATGATAGTATTGATTTCATGGGGGAGTAAATCAATTAATTCAAGTAAAATGAGTTGCAAGAGTAATTGAGATGTAGCACACAATAAGTATAATTTAATTTACTTTTTTTGAATATTAAAGATAGAACATCTTTTCAGAAGTATCTTTTCAGATGTATTTTGGACATTTATATTGTTTCTTTGGATCACTTATTCATGTCCTTCACACATTTTCCCAGTCATATTTTTCTAATAATTTGTAAGAGTTAAAGTGTTGACTATTATGTATGGTGCAGAATTGTTCCCAGTTTGTCATTTGTCTTTTTATTTTTGTATATGCAGGTTTTTTTCCTGCCTGCAAGTTTTACAGTTTTAGGTAATCAAAATAATCTTTTCCTTTATAGTTTTCTCTGCTACTAGGCCAATCTTTTTAAAAAAAACGTATTTTTATTGATTTCAGAGAGGAAGGGAGAGGGAGAGAGAAATAGAAACATGAATGATGAGAGAGAATCATTGATCTTCTGCCTCCTGCATGCCCCCTCTGCCCCCCTCCTAGGGATCGAGCACACAACCTGGGCATGTGCCCTGACCGGAAGTCAAACTGTGACCTCCTGGTTCATAAGTCAGTGCTCAACTACTGAGTCACACCAGCTGAGCTACTAGACCAATCTTTAGAAAAGTCATGTTTTAACAGACTGACAGCTGTCAGAGGGAGGGGGTATTGAGGGGTGAGGGGGAAGCTGGGTGAGGTAGGTGAAAGGATTAAGCAAAAACAAACAAAACCCAAAACAAAAAAACAACTCATGACACAGACAAAAGTATGGTGATTACCCAAGGGAAAAGGGAGTGGGGAGAGGTAGAAGAGGGTAAAGGGGAGGATAAATGATGATGGAATGAGACTAGACTTTGGGTAGTGAACATATAATACAATATACAGATGATGTATTATAGAATTGTATACCTGAAACCTATATAATTTTATTAGCCCAATAAATTGAATAAAAGATATAAATAAAAGATATAAATAAAAAAGGCATGTTTTGTTAGCTCAAAATTATAAAAATAGTAACCCATTCTCTTTGAGTACTTTGTGTATATGTGTATTTTTAAATCTTTAAGTCTTTAAACCACCTGAAATTTATTTTCATGTGAAGACAGCTATTGTGATCTGGCTCCTTCTTTTTATTTTATTTTTTTAAAAAATATTTTTATTTCAGAAAGGAAGGGAGAAGGAGAGAGAAATAGAAACATCAGCGATGAGAAAGAATCATTGATTGGCTGCCTCCTGCACACCCCCTACTGGGAGTCAAGCCTGCAACCCGGGCATGTGCCCTTGATCGGAATCGAACCCAGGACCCTTCAGTCTGCAGGCCGACGCTCTATCCACTGAGCCAAACCAGCTAGGGCTGGCTCTTTCTTTTTATTTATTTATTTATTTATTTATTTAAAAAAAAATATATTTTATTGATTTTTTACAGAGAAGAAGGGAGAGGGATAGAGAGTTAGAAACATCGATGAGAGAGAAACATCGATCAGCTGCCTCCTACACGCCCCCCAGTGGGGATGTGCCCGCAACCAAGGTACATGACCTTGACTGGAATCAAACCTGGGACCCTTGAGTCCGCAGGCCTACGCTCTATCCACTGAGCCAAACTGGTTCGGCTGGCTCTTTCTTTTTAGTTGGATTGTTTCCCAAACCCATTTATTGAAGAAGAATCATCAAGAGTAGGAGCAAGAATGAGGAAGGGCTCTCCTTCAGGAGAATCTGTTCTCCCCTCCTTGAATTTGAAAGTAGGATATCCTAGAGATAGCAAATCTCCATTTCAAACTCAGTCAATAGTCAATAATCATTCTGTTGCTAAGCTGTGGAATGAATATGCTGTGTAAAGCAGTTTGGGATCAGAACTAACAACTTGACTCTAAGTGATGAGACTGCTCTGCTCATTGGTGCAATTCTCCACTGACTCTGGAGGCTCCTCCTAAGTGGATCCTAATTTGGGGACTGTTTTGAAGGGGCATTGTTAGTTTGCAATAATAAGTTATGTGTTGTTCGAGAAACAAAGTGACTATAGCAGATATTTCCTCACTGCAGCCTGGGAGTATTGTTGGGGTATTGATAGGAAGTATTGAATAGTAGTAAACTCACTGTGTTATAGGTCTGCCCTTACTAGCTCTTTTGGAACTCTAGTCCCATCCACTTGCTTGCTTCTGACTCAAGATAGAGGGAGGATGATTCTTGTATTGTAGAGCATCCACATACCCCATGGCAGCAGCTACTCTCTGCCAGAGATAATAAAGAAGGGCAGCTAACTCTTACATGGCATATATTATGTTCTAGGAATTGTTCTAAGCTATACACACACACACACACACACACACACACATACATATATATATATTCTTCACGAAGTAGATCCTCTGTACTGGGTTGAATAGTGTCTACTCAGAACCTGTGAATGTCATTTATTTGGAAATAAAGTCTTTCTAGATGTAATCAAGCTAAGATGAAGTCATATTGGGTTAGGGTGGGTCCTAATCCAATGACTGGTGTTCTTATAAGAAGAGGGAGACATACCAGAGGGAAGATGGCCAGATGAAGATGGAGGCAGAGATTGAAGTTATGCTGCTACAAACCAAGGAATGGCAAAGATAACTAACAACCATCAGAAGCTGGAAGAGGCAAGGAAGGATTCTTCCCTACAGCCTTCTGAGGGAGCACAGCCCTGCTGACACCTTAATTTTTGACTTTTAGCCTTCAAAACTGTGAGAGAATAAATTTCTGTTGTTTAAAGCCACCCAGTTTCTAGACTTTTTTACAGCAGCCCTAAGAAACCAGTATACACTCTTATTATCATCTTCATTTTCAGGTAAGGAAATGGAGGCCCAGAATGGTCAAATATTTGGAGATCTCTCAAGGCCACTGCTCTGCTGGCTGGGCACTTACCCTGAAGCTCCTGCTGTTGCTGTTGTCAGCTCTCCACTTTCACCACAGCCATCAGCTTCTGGTAGTGCTGGGGCTGAGCTTCTGGAATGGCTCCTTTCTGTCACAGCAGGCCCAGCCTTTTCCCCATCCTTGCCCACTTCACATCCTGAAGCAGAAACTCTTCTCATGAGGTTTCTGGCTATAGCCTGGTCATTTCACCAGGTCTCTTACTGACTCCAACCCTTCAGGCTTTACTTTTCATTTCCATGCATTGTCAGAGAAGTGTGGGTGACATTTGAGGGGAGGGTCACCCAGCTCCTGGCAATTGAATTATGCTTCTCATTTCTGGCCCGCTTATGCTTCCAAGAATTTCTGTCAGTAGACAATTCAAGTCTTTATTTTTCTTGGAGCTTTTAAGATCTCACACATAGCTCATATGGCATATATCACAGTTCATGGCTGTGAGCAGAAAAGGAGCTGCTTCCTGGTAGCACTGTCTGTGGCTGCCCCGGTCACCTGCTCTTGATGAACACAAATCACCACAGTGCCTCTCTCCCCTGCCACTGGGAATGGCGGGGATAAGGACATTATCTGACCCAGCTCTTCAGTGTAGCTCCTTGTCTGCCCATGGTCTCTTTTGCTGGCATCCCAGGAGAGATTTCCTCCTCCTGCATCCTGTTGCTGGCTCTGGAATCTCGTCTATTTTCCACTATAGACCTTTTGCTTTGGATCCTGCTCTTATTGTCAGCTCCTCTCACTAGACTGAACTTTGGGAACTCTGGAACCATATATTTTTTTTAAAAATATATTTTTATTTCAGAGAGGAAGGGAGAGGGAGGGAGAGATAGAAACGAGAGAGAATCATTGATCGGCTGCCTCTTGCATGCCTCACACTGGGGATCGAGCCCACATCCTGGGCATAAGCCTTGACTGGGAATTGAACTGTGACTTTCCTGGTTCATAGATTGATACTCAACCGCTGAGCCATGCTGGCCAGTCAAAACCATATCTTTTGTTTGCTGCTATAGCCCAGGACTGAGCAAAGACCTGGCACTTACTAGCTAATCCCTCAGGAAATGTTCATTGAATAAATAAATGAATGTTGACCTTGAAGCTTTGGAATCCTAGTTTTTCTTGCTTCTTGTTAAAGCCAAGGATCAGATTAAGAACTTTAGATGCAGCCCTAACCGGTTTGGCTCAGTGGACAGAGCATCGGCCTGCGGACTAAAAGGTCCCAGGTTCGATTTTGCTCAAGGGCATGTACCTTGGTTGCAGGCACATCCCCAGTAGGGGGTGTGCAGGAGGCAGCTGATCAATGTTTCTCCTAATGCTGTTTCTAACTCTTCTATCTCTCTCCCTTCCTCTCTGTAAAAAGTCAATAAAATATATTTTTTTAAAAACAACAAAACTTTAGAGGCCTACACAATAGAATTATCATATCCCTCATACTTCAGCCCCCAGTATATATATTTTAAGAACAGTATTAAAATAAAACAAGTATAAAGAAAATCCAGCAAAATTACCATGGTGACTGCTTGGATAAATATTAAATAATTTAAAACATTTGTTGTTATTGTCTCTGCTTTGCTAGTTCCCTAAGCACATGCTGTTGGATAATCCTGCCCTGACCAGCCCTTCCCTCACCTTGAACTTCACTTTTCTCTTTACGCCATCTGCTGAAGCTGCCAGCTAGCCCCTTTCACCCCGCAGTGGTGTCTGGCTCCTGAGACCCCAGCCTGGGTTTGTGCCCTGGACTCCCTGGGGGTTTGCCAGAAAATCAAGTAGAGCACTGCTAAGGAGAACTCCCATGCTGACTTGGAATTATAGTCAGCATAGCACATTGTGTTACTTAGGCCATTGTAGTCATAATAATCTGCTTCCTGATCCTATATGTGGAAAGCTTAGAAATTTTCTTACAGTCTTCCTTCCTGGATTACTGAGAGAGAAGTCAAAACACAGGTTCACTCTGCCTCCTGTATTAAGCTGGGTCTTGCTGGGATCATTCAGAGAAGTAAGGTGTGATTCTGGAAGTGGAGCCCAGACTTCCTACAGGCTGTTCCAAGGTTATGACCATAGTCAAATCCAGTTGCTGCTTGATTCTAAGGAGTTTAAAATAGTATTGGAAACCTCCTAGGAAAAAAATCACCACCGTAACTTCTTGGCTAAGGAAGTGGTGTTTGCTGGCCAGAGTAGAAGGGGTAGCCAAGCCTCGCAAGTTCTATTCTGGACCTGTTGATTTGAGGTGTGACATTCAGCATTTTGAGATTATGTCCTGGAACTCTGATGGTTTCTCATCTCAGCATAGAGAGTGATATGGGCTGTGTTTGCAGGGAAAGAGGCCAATAATAATGTCCTCTAGGAGAGCCTCACCATTCGATGTCCCTTTGTTTGAATTTCCAGGCTCTTTAAATACAGCCCCTTCCCTGCCCGCCCCCCGCTATACACACTTACTATACACACTTAATATAGGAACCCAGCAATATTATCCACATTTTACTTGAACTCATTTAATCAGAATTGCTTTCCTTTTTAGCAATGTGATTAGATCAGCTCCTCTAAGGGATGGAAACGTTGATAGGGTTTAGGAAAGGAAGGAAAGGTTTACGCAGGGCACATACCTTGGCCTTGGACAGCCAGGGAGTAACATGAGGGCACCAGGTACATGATGTGCTAGATGAGGAAGAACAAACTCACATCCCTGGAGAGCCAGGCACGTAATTAGATGCTTTTCATATATTTTCTTATTTAGTTACCATAATGCAAACCAATAAATTATCATTTTTGCACGGGCAAGCTGAAAGTCATAGAACTTATGTAACTTACCCAAGGTCAGACAGTGAATAAAAGGCTGAGCTAGGATTGATTTCTCCTCAGGTCTGTCCACTTCCAAAGCCCATGCTGTTATCACAGCTCTTGTCTCCCTGACAAGATTTAGCAAAAGAGGGTGGGCAAAAAAAGAGAAGATGGGGAGATGCCATCTTTCTGTGCCTCACAGTTTTGCTTGTTGAGACCTGTTTAGCCAGAGCATCCTGTTTATAGAAAACTGGGTTCTATATATAGAGATGCTACAACAACATATGTGGGAAAGATACCAATTGGCTGTAGGGGAGGATTAAAAAAAGCCTTTGTTCCTTACCTCTAGGTCTCATTGCAGTGTAACCCACAAGTGTCAAAACACCACTGGCAACACTGGTTTAGTGTGTAAGAGGCCCTGTCCTATTCAAATTAAATCTGTTGGTCTATCCCAAGGAGTAAGTCATGATGGGGCAGAGGTGAGGGTGTGGTATGCCCTTACTGCATTTCCTGGAGCTGGTGGCACCTGTTATGTGACTATTGCAGTGAATTATTACTGAGTAAACAAGAGGTGTCTCTCTCTTGCTTTTCTAAGGGAGACCAGATGGCAGTGGGTGTTGGCCAAGATCCAGGGGATCCTGGCCTCTGCGCTGGCAGAGTAGACAGCTTGAGAGGTCAGGTGATGGAATAAGAAGAGACAGAGCTAGTCTATCAACTGATGTAATCTTAGGGGCACCTAGAATGTGTCCTGCCCCTCAAAGACTTGCCTCAGCGATTTGCTATTGTTTGGAGTTCCACAGTGAAACTTTCCCCCTTAGATTTAAGTCTTTGAGACCCTACTAAAAATGAGACTCCAGGAAGGGGTTTGATTGTGAAGCATCCTGGTCATCTAAGTGGAAGTGTGATTCAGCTTATGAGATTAATTTCTGAGAACTAGATTAAGGCAAGGGACTGAGAGGAGAGGACACTGTGCTCCTAGTCATAGGGACAGGAGGGAGACACTACTGAGTTGGATATAAAGGCTCTGCAAAGAGAAGTTGGGTCCCTAAAGAAATATTTTGTTTCCTTCACAATTTTGTCTGAGAGAAAACTAGCAGCTGAGGGTGGTGGGGATGGAGGCTCTTGACCACAAGAAAGGGTGTGGGGCAGAGATTTCCTACCTGCATGCTGGGTATGCAGGTTATTGTCTGGAGAGCAGCTGACAGGCAAAATGTAACAAGGAGTGCAGGACCTTTGGGTCTGTGGTTTGCTGTTATGTCCTCAGACAAGACTGTCACAGATCTTAGGAAGCAAGAGGAAGCTTCACAGAAATGATGTAAAGTGGTGGCGCAAAAGAGGCCGCTGATGACAACATGGGCAGGGTACTTCCTCAGTGACCACTGGTCACAGACAACTTGTGGTCTTGATTTCCCAATGAGTTGGGCTGAGCTAGGGCTTGATGGGAAGGCAAAATAAGCCATGTCAAAAGCAATGACAAAGCACTTGGGTGTACGTGCACATTCCCTTAATCACTAACTTTATGGAGCCAAAATAGCTAATCCAGAGGCTGCCAGCATAGCACCTGTGATTCAGATCTACAACTTTGTGGCCTGAGTTACTTCAAAGTGAGAGAGCCTTCCTAATTGACTGTTCATCTTCATGATCTGAATTTTCACATTTTTTCCTCCCCCAGGGGATCTCCGACAGAGGCAACCCAAATCTCTGCCTTTCCCAGCTCCTCACAGATGAATTCATGGATGTCCTTCACTCTTAGGCTTCAACTTTACTCTGTTTACTTTCCTACCCTAAGTCGAGAGCATTTTCTTTTTTTAAAATATATTTTATTGATTTTTTACAGAGAGGAAGGGAGAGGGATAGAGAGTTAGAAACATCGATGAGAGAGAAACATCGCTCAGCTGCCTCCTGCACACCCCCTACTGGGGATGTGCCCGCAACCAAGGTACATGCCCTTGACCGGAATCAAACCTGGGACCTTTCAAACTGCAGGCCGACGCTCTATCCACTGAGCCAAACCGGTTAGGGCGAGAGCATTTTCTTTTTAATTTTTATTT